GCTCCTGCGACCTGGAGCCTCCCAGAGAGCTGCTGTGATCCTGGGGAGGACGGGATGTTTTTGTAAATATGGATGTTGCACTGGTGAGACAAGCAGTAGGGCTCTGCATCCAGGCTGTCAACCATCGTATTGATCTTGCAGCATAAATCAGGACCGTTTATGCAGTTTCTATAGCTTTAGGGCCCTGCACAAATATTAAGTGCACGTGTCCCAAAATAACACTTAAGCGCTGGATATTCTATGGCAGCTTGTAAAGTTTTCTCCTAATTACTCTCACTGCAAGCCTGGGTTAGGGGAAAGATGCATTTTTTTTAGCCAATTAAATTTTTAAAAGCAATCAGTGATGGTTTTCCAAGTGACTGCTTCCTTTCTGTGAGGTCATTGTGGCTTTGGGGTGGTTCAGGGTAACTCTTCTGCAGTAGGGATTGTGCCGTTCCAGCAGGCACCTCCTAACAGCACGGAGTGACTTGCGCTCTGGCTCTGTTATTCGCCCTGTCTATTCTGGATTGCAAATTGGTGCATCTCTGCTTGGCCTTTGCCTAGGAAAACCCTGACAATACTTGGCTGGATCTTGTGGAACAGCAAGAGACCTCGCACTCCGGCCTGGCTCTGTGCATCTCTTCCAGCGCTGTTTCCCACAGCCCGGCTCAGAGTAGCTCTTGCAAAAGAGTCGGCACAGAAGACAGAGGCTAGAGAGCAGCCAGGCCCCAGTGCCTCTGGCCTGCAGGAAAGGGGCAGAAAAAGGACAGTCGTGAACAGAGCTGGAGGTGTCCCTCAACCATCAAGGAGCCAGAGGAGGACAGCAAACACGATGCCATTGGTCAGGGGAAAAAACTGGTTGTAATGGTGAAAATTCATATTTTTTGCGAAAGAGTGAAGCAGAAGAGAGGTAGGAGGAGGAGAGTGGAGCTCTGCACCAGCAGTTCCCCGAATAACTCCACAGCGGGAGGGGACGGGCGACTCTGCAGGGTGCAGCGACACCCAGCGTGCCCTGCCTGGAGCAGTGCCCCAGGCCTGGAAGCTCTTCTGGACGGAGCAGATGAGGCAGCCGGGGGAGAGCGTGCTTGGAGAGCTCGGGCGAATCCAGCCCCCTTGGGCGCCGGGTTATTGAGGTGAAGTGGCTGAAGGACTGTAAACAGTGGAGGAGGGTGGCCAGCAGGGCCAGGAGCGCTGCTGAGGCACCGCAGGGTTTCAAGCATGTTTAAGCTGAGTCTTTAAACCCAGGCAAAGGCCGGTACAGAGGGAACCGGAATCGGGGTGGAGGCAGGAGGGGGAAGAGTTTAAGCTGGAGCTGGTCCTGCAGTTCTTTAAAGGCACACAATATTCTCCCTCCAGGTTCCCAAGAACGGCAGACCTCAAAGCGCTGTATTCGTTTAGCTCATGGTTCTCCGCTAGCTTTTTCTTCTTTTGTGGTTGTAACTGCACCTGCTGGACTTGTTCAGGAGTGGGAGTTAGGGGGACTCGGCAGAACAGCAGCTTTTCTCCTAAAACACCTGCACAACCTGTTTAGTCTCATGATGCAGTGACCTCTTGCGGAGACGCTGTCCTGTTAGGGCCTGCGTGCTGGGGAAGGACCGCCGCTCCATAAGGGCAGAGGTGGAAGACCCAGAAACGTTGTACCTTCAGTTCTGGCCAGCGGCAGCACTTCCACCGAGAGGGTGGGTCAGGTTGTGGCCAAGTGCTCGGATGTTGGGGTGAGTCTGGAATAAAACCTTGGCACATGGGCTTGTTTTGAAAGTGTGGCCTTCAGCTGGGCCTGGTCGAATTTATGTGCTTTTCCTGGCAGAGGGCTCTACCTGGGTGTTTTGATGCCCTTTCCTCATGACTCAGACCTCCATTCAGCAGATGCTGAAGCAGCTGACAGCGTAAACTCAGGGGGGCAGACTGGAGCTGGATACTTGTTGACTGTTCCTGTGTAGTGCTGCAAGTTGTCGTAAGCTCCGCGCCGCGGAGCGTCTGGTCCTGTTTTACAGATAACTTTGTGCACTGTCAGTTTTGAATGACAGCCGGAAGAGCTGTGAGTTCATTCAGTGCTGGTTACTCTCTGCTGGTGGTGCTTTGACTGCAGCCTTGCGGAGAGGAGGACTGAAGGCCGATGCTTTGCTGGGTCTGTGCTTGCCGTGCAGAGCACGTTGAATGTGGCTTGTCAGCGCCTGCCTCTGAACTCGCCTGGCGTGTGTGTAAGTGGGCCCCCTCGGCCCTCAGAGGCTTTAAAAGGCTCTCGGAGGTGGCTGGAGTCTTCTCTGTTCCCCACCCTGCCTGGAGCAGCCTGAAGCCGCAGGAGTTTTCCTTGCTCAGTCTTCCCCGGTACCCTTTGGAGCGTCCCCGGTTCTTGCCAGCTCTACTTGGACAGACTAGGCGGTGATCCGCTCCAGTGTGCAGGCTGCACTTACTCTAGATGTTCAAACAGTTGCTAGAGCCCTTGGTGGAGGGGAAGGTGGGTCATTGCTAATTGCTGAAAAGCCGTTTTTATCTGAACTCTAGGCCAATAACACCAGGCTTGGGAGTCCTCTTTCCATTTAGCAGGGTATTGTTCTCTTAGAGGCGTGGGCTGTGCGGCCCATTATGTTCTCTGCTGTGGGTCACAGCCGAAGCAGCCGGGAAGTCCCTGTGTCTCCCTCCGCTTCCTCCCGTTGGAACAATCGGAGATCTCTGCCAGCGAGAGCGGTGGTTCAGAGAAGTTCCTGTCGGGTCCCTTCGTGTGCCACCTCTGCCTCCCCTTCTTCCTCTCCCTTCTCGCCTGGCACATGGGATGGGGAGAGGCAGGGAAGTCTGCGGGCCCTCGTGGGAAGGGCTCTTCCTGCTCTTCCCTTTGCTGTAGCCTAATGTCAGGACACGATTCCTTGCTGCTGATTAAATATTTCCTCTGCCAAATGAACCGAGCTGAGCTTGATGGAAAGCTGTTAGTGTATAGCCTGACTCTGGGGTCCCCTAATAGAGCAAGGTAGGGGATGGGGAAGCCTCAGCGCCACTGAGGGCTGTGGAATTTGGCCCGGAGGCATTAGAAACTTTGTGTTCAGGGTTTTGTTAAAAACGCATTGTCAGTGACCGTGGGTTGTTAATAATTCACAGTGAACGTCTGAGTCCCGCAGGGCTGGAGCGTGTCTGTCTGTCTGCACGCAGAGATGCACCAGCTCTTAGAGACGCTCCAAATCGAGATGGCAGCTCGCTCTCTTAAAGCATTCTGATACGATTTTAAAAGCCTGAATGACCTTAAATTCTGCAATGGCTGTCTTTCAGGATAAATTATTTATGTTGCATCTTCAGTGTTGCCTAAGCCCTTGCTCCTCAGAACCAGGCAGAAATGTCAGGCTTCAGAGGACAGGATCTGAATTTGGAAGGCTGCGCTCAGGATAACCAAGACTTGAGGGTTTGGATGGGAAGAGGTAGAAGAAAGAGGAGCCCTCTAATGTGGGGGTGGGAGGGAGGGCGTTTTGGAAGGTCCAGCCTTGGAAGTCGTCCCCGAACCGGTGCAGCCGCATTCTGCAGCCGACATCAGAGGGCTGGCAATTCCGCTTGATCTGCAGTTCAAAGCTGCTGCCTCCCTGAGGATGAAATGCTTCATCTTGGGTTTGCAAATGCAGACTCGCCGTGGAAGCAGTGTAGCTGTGAAATACAAATCTGCCACAGTGCCCAAATCCCCCTGAAAAGCAAGGAAACACGCTCATGGCGTCTGAAGGTCACTGCTGCATGTCCAGCCAAAAAAAAAGAAAAGAAAAGAAAAACCATCCCCGCCTTGAGGGACGAGCAGAAACCAGGGCCGCTTTCTGCAGAAAGCGTTTCATTTCCCTTTACGGCACATATGGACTTGAAAAATGCCTAAAAAACAGGGCGTGTGCTCCTGTCGCAGGTTTGTCGGGGCACAGGCCTTTCGAGGCGAAGCTTATCTGGGTCCTGAAGTCTAGGGATCCGCTGGATGTCCCAGCTCTGTGCTGCAGTGTCACCCCTGAGAGCTTGGGAGGTATGAATGGATGCAGTATTGTAAAATCAGGGATGGGGCGAGTGCTGGTGGATGGGAGGAAAAGCACGGGTGTGGGGGGACTATTTTGGTCTTTGCAGCTCATCTGAGCTGGCTGTGTTACGCTTCTGGCTGGAGGACAGCAGCTGTTAAGCTAATTCAGCTGTTTTACAAGAGAGGTGGACTGCTGAGTATAAAGTTCTTGTTTTTTAATAGCATTTTGAACCTGGGGTTGGCAGGGGAAGCTCGATTTCAAGTGCTGCGGGACTGCCGCAAGTCAGGGCTGCTGTAGGGTGAGAGGCGCTGAAGTGATGTGTCCGCTTTCCCCAGCGGTGGGACAGAGGCTGGCTCTGAGCAGCAGCTCTGAAAGCACCTTTCTCCAGGGCCACCTCGACTTCAGTAAACTCTCCTCCAGAGTAATAGCTTTGGTTTTCTTTCTTATATTGTCGTCCTCCTGGTTTCCTCACAGCTTTCTGGGTTTTTGTTTTTGATTTTAAAAGGAAAGCTACAGCACAAATCTGCCCCTTCTGGCTTTGCTGAAGATGAGCTTCCTTCTGCGCTTTGATCTAGAGGGTGTCTTTCACGCTGTCCCGATTCAGGTCTTCTAAATCACTTTCCCTGCAACTGCAGTAAGCTGCTGCTGTGGCATATGGAGCTCTCAAACATTAAGGTCTGGCTTCGGGAAAGAATCCTTGGTAACGAAGAACAAAGGGAAAGAAATGCCGAGAGAAGTCGGCTGTCTGAGCGGCGGCGTTTCACAGGGCACGGTTTCCGTAAGGCACACGCTAAACTAAGGATTGGTGCGCGTTGCTGGGAGAACCCCCAATTTTTTTTTTCTTGGAGGATTTAGCCTGTGTCTCCCTAATCTTTATCAGCTGTGTCTGTCTTCACAAGCATTATTTTAGAAACAGACACAGATTACTCCAGTGTTCCCACCCAGAGGTTTTAGCTTTTCTCATGGTATGAAATAATCGGCATCCACCATGCGCTGGTTTGCTTTGGCCGAATTCGATGCCTCTTGATTTTTGTTTTTCAATGTGACCTTTGCTGTTAATCCACAACCTGAATGGGGCCGCGTGCTGAAACGAAGTGACCCGTTTGTTGGGAATTCAGCTCTGCATTATCCTCAAGCTGCTTTAGCTTAAACTCTTTTTTCCCCCCTCCCCTCTCTCTTCTAGGTCAGATCCTTTATTTGAATGTGGGTTTCAGTGCAGCAGTAGTTTTGAGGGCATGTTAGATACAGGGAAATAATGACTCATGGCTTTCTCTGTAGAAATACCCCTCTCTTCCCCAGTCAGTAGGTACACCGAGTTATGTTTCTGTGGGATTTTCCCTCGCCGCTCAGCCTGATGCAGTGCTTACGTGGTGGGCCAGCGGGGCCAAATGGGTGGAAGCGAGTGGCGTGCTCCTGTTTCAGATGTGGTATTGACTCGTTTTCTGACTGTCGACAAGTCCCCGTCTGCGTGCCGTGAGGTGATGGGTCGCTGTTGGGCCTGTCGCAGGAGTATCCAAATGCTGCTGGGCGCCCAGGGCGGTCTGTGGCTCGCAGCAAAGTGCAGAGCGGGGTGGGAAACGTCTCCGCGTGAGTAACGAGCCGGAGCGTAAACGTAGCTGGGAGCTGATGGGGCGTTTTTGTTCTCGTGGCTCAGGAGCGGAGGTGATGGCCTGCAGTCCTGGCACCGCTCCTGCGCTGGACGAGGCCTGTGACACACGAGACCCGTTTGGGAGTCTCATTACCTGGCACGTTTTTCAGCTGTAACTCCGCTAATTACCCTGAGCTGCTGGTGTTCAGACAAGACCTGGGCTCTCCTGCCCTGTCCCTTCCCACGGGCTGTGCCAGGAGGTCGTCCCACTGTCCTCGGGATGTGACGCTCCAGTCTGGCAGCAGCTTGCGTGGTCCCAAGCCTGGGGACGTGATCTCACTGCGGGATGGGAAGGAGCACCGGGGAAAAGAGCTCCTGTTTGAACACGTCTCGGGCAGCGCCTGCAAATCCCAGCCTGGTACATTATGAACTGTCTCTGATCTGCTTTGGTGGGAAAGGTACAGACTGCGTGGGTTTGCCGTGCTTTACTCCAGTTTGTGGAGCATACTGGCTTTGTGGGAGGGGTTGGTGGTGTAAGGGGCTGAGGCGGAAGCAGCTTGACATTAGTTCCTCTTCTGCGTGAGGCCTTGAGCTTGATCCGGAGCAAAATAACGCAGCACGTGTTGGAGGAGAAGGAGTATTTCTGAGAGGTTTGGAGTGAGGTAGCTTCTCTGGTGAGGCAGATGAGGGTCCTTTGAGTCGTGGGAGTAGTTTGTCTAGTAGAAGGTGAGTCTCAGAAGGGACCTGAATGTTAATACCCGATACAAACCCTTTCAAATATCATGGGCACCTAGCTTTCATTGCCTGGGTTATAAAGAAACTTTCACTGTTATGGCCTCTGTGGTTGCATATCCCGGAGATCAAGGATCAGAAATCTAGAGGCTTTAAATATGAAACTAGTTCTTACCAGGCATTGGTATCGTGGTTGGCTTTAACAATTAAGGAACTAGGTTCCCTAAGGAGAAGGGCTCTGGAGCAGGGCTTTTACCCCTGCCTCTCCATCGGCCTCAAGCACCCGAAACTCCCACGGTGGCAAGCGAGGCCTCCAGTCACCACATTCCTATTCCCTTAGCCGGTGCTGCCGGGATGGCCCTACCTGTAAGGCTGTTGTCAGAGACACGAGCCTGCCAGGGGCTGTCTTGTGATCACCTGGTGATTCAGGCTCTTCTTCCTGTCCCCACTTCCTCCATTTAAGCGTTCAGTCTGGTACTGATCCGAGCTTCTGCTGGGTTGTGCGGAGTCCAAAGGGCAAAGGGCTGCGCTGGTTTGGAGCTGCTCTGGGTAAGTCGTGGCGTGGGACAGCTTTGTTTCAGGCTTATAATCAGATGGATTGGGATGTAATTAGATCGATGTTAGGAAGGTTTGTTTTGCTGCCTGCTCACACGGATGCTGTCAAAGGGAGCTGTGGAGTTGCAGCTGTTAAAATTAAGTTAGATGTGGAGCACAATCAGCCTTTGGAAAATTGGGAGCTTATCAAAATAAGATCCAAGTGGTTTTGAAAATCTGGCTTATCTGCCAGGGCTGCTTGGGGATGGGAAAGTCTCTCCTTGTGCGAACCATAGGGCAGCACCACATGCCTTTTCATCTGCTTTCTGCTTGGTAATTTGTGTGGCAGATTTAACGACGTTTACAGCTAGAGGGGCCTACCGGGGATGTGTACCAGGGTTAGCCCTTGATTTGTGCTGATGAGCGTTGGCTTTGGGGGCCCTGTCACATTGCCATGTAAGCAGCCTCCTGCCGCAGGTAAAGCAGCTGGATTGATGGCGCAGAATTATCTTAGCCGGATTTTCTCTCCCAAGGGAAGGGGATTGGGCGAAAAACATCCTGGGTCTCGGCTGCCTGGCAGCTCTGGCTCAGCCGCAGGCTCTGCGTCGGGGTGCGTGGCCCCGGCCCCGGGGAGTCGCAGCTCCCGTCGCGGGGCGCTGAGAGGACCTGGCTGCCCTTTTGAGCCAGCCTGGAGGGGGCAGCCCAGGCCGACGCGCATCGGTCCTGCAGGGACCGCGGCTGCCCTGAAGCGCTGCTCGAGCTAAAGGGCCCTTGTGCGCTG